TCCCCAGGGCCACCTCTTCATCCCCTCAGACTTGGACCGCACCTCTAGCCACATCAGCATAAGAAGGGGCTGGTGTACTCCTCTCATCCATAGGTTTGTCGCCCAGACGTGGGCACTGTCTTGCCAAGTGTGACTCACTGCCACAGAAGTGGCACTTCCTCCCCTCAGGGCACTCCACAGTTCTGTGGCCGGCTTTGGAACAATTGCGACAGACTGTACCAGCCTCACATTGATCACGCACATGGCCAAATGAGAAACAGTTCCGGCAAAATAAAGGCTGGCCCGGGTACCAAAGCACCCCTCTGTTTGGACCTATGGAGAATGCTTGTGGCGGGTGCGCACATCCTCCCACTCCACTACTGTCTTTTTTAAGCTGAACAAAAAAATCGCCGGTGGCCATTAAAAGTTCCCAGAATGTTAGTCTGCATTATACCAGCTGACACATTAGCGCAGTATTTAGACAAAAAGACCCGGATTTCGTCTTCTCTGACAAAAGGATTATACATCTGTACCGTTATTGGCACCCTCTGTCTTGCCTCGTTAGCCACGAAAGAAATGCCATCTAGTACAGGGTCCTGCGCCTTCTCTTGGGCCCGCAACAAACAGGTTCGTAAATCCGCCAATCGAAAAAAGGACACATCAAAAAATCCACTGGATGGGAAGGCTTGGACGCAGAAAATGCTCTCGAGTGGCATGCTAAGTAGATCCATCACCACCTTCTTCTGAATAAAATACAATCCGCAATCAGCCCGACGGCTCTCCTCCACGGCCACCCTTACAGTATTGGGTGCTTCTGGCACTGCTGCCATACTCCTTCAGGAACCTCACCGCCCCAACCCCGAAGGGAAGGATTTAGCAAGGTTGATCCCAGCTCGCAGGGTTCAGGGAGCGCCACCCCCAATAGCAGCAAGCCGTGCTTGGTAGTACACGGCAAGGCCGAGGGCGCTGGTCCCTTACTTCCTCTACCTCTCAGCTGCAACCAAGGATGATCGCAGCCAAAAGGCCGAGAAGCGGCGGGCTTATTTTTGATTGAAAAGATACTTTTATTACAGAAGCATCAAAAACAACATGTTACTTGTAATCGGGGTACATCTCACCCTGTACTGCGACGCAGCGCACCACATTGCAATACAGTTCCAAGCATACAATAAATACATTCAGAAATAAATACATTCGCTCAGCGGTATGATGCCTGACGTGATGTGCGTGGAGGACGAATCTCCAGACCACCACGTCATGCATAACGCCGCTTACCCCAAAAACTGTAGCATCCTAATATACATTACGTTTCCTAATAATACTAATGCATGCAAAAACGAAAACCGGATATTACGATCAACAATAGGCATCGGGTGTGGGGGGGGGGGGGGAAGGGGGGGGGAAGAACACAGGCCCGAAGCTTTATTGAAAAGACAAAGACACGCAAGGGGGAGTAGGGGGAAGGGGAAAATCTTCAGACGTCCTCTTCCTCCTTAAAGTCCATCAATGAATAGTCTCTGAGCAGACTGAGGATCAGTCTGCGGCAGTCCTCAATGGACATCCTCTCCCGCTGGTGGATGAGGCGCTTTCTGGCGCACCATAAAGCGTCCTTAAAACAGCACAGCACCTGCCAGGCGCCATCAATGTCCTCCAGAGAAAAAGTCCCACAGAATAGTCCATTCAACACCCCAAAGTGAGTGATGGCTGTCTGTGGTACAAAGTCCTTGAGTTCAGGTTCCAGGGCCCCCAACAGGGCCTGAGCAAATGAGCACTCCCAGAAAACGTGGTGAGACGTTTCCTCGTGGATGATGCAGAAGGGGCAGTGTCTGTATCTGCTCAGGTTCCTGGCATGCATAAATGTCCTGAGAGGCAACCCCCCTTGGATTGCCATCCATGCCAGGTTTTTGTGCCTGTTGGTAAGGATGTTGGAAGAAACATTCCTCCAGACCACCTTGCAGGTGTCTGAAGGCAGGCCTGGAACCGACTCCAAAATGTCACTGGCTCGGATGAGCTTGTAGATAGTCTTTGGCTTCCACAAGTCAGGCTTGACTCCCTGCAGCCCTTGCTCCCTGATGAACTTGAAGGTATCCAAGTAGTACCAAGGAGTGTCCCAGTTGTAGGGGATGGAACTGTCCCAATTGTCCCATCCGAGGGACAATGTTCCACTCAAACATAAACCCAACACTAGTCCCCTCAGTCAGCTTTAGTAGAACCTGGGTCTCAGCATTCAGGCCCTCAAGTCGCCCTACTGAGACCTATGGCAGCAGGTGCCTGTGAGGGCAATGTGCCCTCTCCCAAGCTGGAACAATCCTGACCAGGAAAGACCCAGAGCCCAGTGCGCTCTCTGAATATATACAGTTACCCAGCATGCTTCAGGGCCCATTTTCCTGGGATTGGCTGGAGCTGTATCAATACTCATGCTGGCATCTGCATAGTTCCACACCTACCATTCAGAGGATTTCTGGATGCAGAGGGAGCTATACCAGCCTGCCAGCAGCAGAGCACACATCCCAGACCTATCTAGTAGAATCAGGCATCACTGATACATTGAATTAAATATGCTTTTACCTACCAAAACGGAACTAACCTATCTAACCAAACATTGCACCTAAATCATCAAAAGAACACCATACCCACAGTGAAGCATGGTGGTGGCAGCATCATGCTTTGGGGCTGTTTTTCTTCAGCTGCAACTGGGACCTTAGTCAAGGTAGAGGGAATTATGAACAGTTCCAAATACCAGTCAATATTGGCACAAAACCTTCAGGCTTCTGTTAGAAAGCTGAACAGGAAGTGGAACTTCATCTTTCAGCATGACAACGACCCAAAGCATACATCCAAATCAACAAAGGAATGGCTTCACCAGAAGAAGATTAAAGTTTTGGAATGGTCCAGACCTGAATTTGATGGAAAATCTGTGGGGTGATCTGAAGAGGGTTGTACACAGGAGATGCCCACGCGATCTGACAGATGTGGAGTGTTTCTGCAAGGAAGAGTGGGCAAATATTGCCAAGTCAAGATGTGCCATGCTGATAGACTCATACCCAAAAAGACAGTGCTGGAATCAAATCAAAAGGTGCTTCAGCAAAGTATTAGTTTAACCGTTTCAATACCGTGCAATTTTCACCTTCCTGCCCAGGCCATTTTTCCAGGTTTCAGCGCTCTCACACTTTGAATGACAATTGCGCGGTCATACAACACTGTACCCAAACTAAAATTTTATCATTTTCTTCACACAACTAGAGCTTTCTTTTGGTGGTATTTAATCACCACTGGGGTTTTTATTTTTTTGCTAAATTAACAAAAAAAGACCAAAAATTTTTTAAAAAAAACACATTTTTCTTTGTTTCTGTTATAAAAGTTTACAAATAAATAATTGTTCTTCATAAATTTAGGCCGAGATGTATTCTGCTACATGTCTTTGGTGAAAATAACCCAAATTAGGATGTATTTTTTAGTTTGTAGGAAAGTTATAGAGTTCACAAACTATGGTATAGATCTGAAAATTGATCAATCCTGAAGTACTGACGGCCAATCTAATTTCTTGAGGTCCAAGAATGTCAGAATAGTACAGATATCCCCCAAATGACCCCTTTTTGCAGAGTAGACAGTCCGACGTACTTCATAAGAAGCATGGCGTTTTTTTAAGTTTTTTTTTGTCATAATTTTTCGGAAAATGAAAAAATGAAAAAAATTATTTTCACTATTTTTTTTTTTACATACTGTCACCAGTACAGTACAGCATCATCATATAACTGGCATGGCGGTGAACAGGGACACTGACTGGTGACAGTATGAAAAAAAAAAAATATATATATATTTTTTTTTTTTTTATTTATATTTAATTTTTTATTACATTTTTTTAACATTTTTTTTTAAGATTTTCTTTCATATTTTACTATGACCAAAATAGTACAATGTTACCATAGTAACATTGTACTACTTTGAGGAAGTGATCAGTATTTTTTTTTTTTTTTTTTTTTTACACAATTTGCTTATAGCAAAGAATTACTTTGCTATAAGCAAGCATTTACCTGAATGAAATCGATTCATTGAGCTTTTTTTTTTTTTTTTTTTTTTTTTGTGCTTAGCTGTGATTTGGTCACAGCTAATCACATGACATGTGCATGTGATTAGCTGTGACCATTCACAGCTAGGCACTAGTATACAATGGATGGCATCATGAATGAAGCCATCCATTGTATACAACTGTCATGTGACCTGCTGTGATTGGTCACAGCAGGTCACATGGTACCAGCACCGGGAGCCGGTACTCGGATCTGTCATCGGCCGTGTCCGAGGTGCACGGCTGATGACAGATCGCACTGCTGCGCCGCTTTGCACTAGCACAAACGGCGCATGTGCAGGAGCACGCCAAATGGCGTGTACCCGGAACAGAGAGACACTTCTGAAGCCGCCAAACGGCCATTGACCGGGCGGCTAATGGTTAAGGGTGTGCACACTTATGCAACCATATAATTTTAGTTTTTGTATTTTTACTTCCCTCCACCTAAAAGATTTCAGTTTGTTGTTCAACTGAGTTGTACAGTTTATAGGTCACATTAAAGCTGGAAAAAGTTCTGAAATTATTTATTTTTGTCTCATTTTTTCACATCACAGAAACCTGACATTTTAACAGGGGTGTGTAGACTTTTTATGTCCACTGTATGCCTTTCACATTTTTCCCTTCAATATTTCAGGAGCTCTGTATTTGACTCTTGCAACATCTCTGCTTAACAGCTGGGGAGATAATGAGGGTCATTTACTAAATGAGCTGAGAATCTTCAGACAATAAAGGTGTGAGGAATCACTTAATTTATCTAATTATGCGTAAGGCAAAGTATTGCTTACTTATTTAACCGCCTCCCGTCTGCCATATAAGGTAATGATGGGCGCAAGTCGGTTCTCTCATTCTGGGAGGATGTCATATGACGTCCTCCCATTCTAACCGCACATGCGTGGCTCTGGGAGTGCACAGCACGGCGATCGGTGGTGCGCAGTCTCCCTTGGACACAGCGGATCACCGATCAACGGAAAGAGCTGAAGATGTTGGCTCCGTCATGTGATCAGCTGTGTCCAATCAGAGCTGATCACATGTAAATAGGGAGCTGACAGCTCAAGAGGAGAGGAAAGCCGGTAATCGGCATTCCTAGGAGGGGACATCTACACTGATCATCAGGGCATTGATGATGTGTGCCCTGATCAGTGTAGCCCCAGCAGAGCCACCTGTCAGTGCCCATCAGTGCCTCATCAATGCTACATATCAGTGCCTACCAGTGCACATCAATGCCACATATCGGTGCCCATCTGAGCTGCCTTTCAGTGCCACCTATCAATGCCTTTCAGTGCCACCTATCAGTGCTGCCAATCAGTGCCACCTATCAGTGACCGTCAGTGCTGCCTATCAGTGCCACCTTTCAGTGCCACCTATCAGTGCTAGTCTGTGCCGCCTATCAGTGCCACCTATCAGTGCCATATATGAGTGCTGCCTTTCAGTGCCCATCAGTGATGCCTGTCAATGCCCTAAAGTGCCACCTACTAGTGCCTCCTCATCAGTGCCCATCAGTGCCCATCACTGCAGCCTCATTAGCGCACATCAGTGAAGGAGAAAAATCACTTATTTGCAAAATTTTATAACAAAAACTAAGAAAAAAACGTTTTGAAATTGAAATTTTGAAATTTTCAGTTTTTGGTTTGTTTGGCAAAAAAATGTAAGAAGAGAATATGGCTGCCCCCACTTACATATAGTATTGGAAACTATGCACACAACAAACTTTTTAAAATACTCAATAAAATTTTGCACTTCAAGCTGACCTCTTTTTCCTGTTTAATTTCAATGAATTGACCATTCCCTATAACACTTAGAGTGTAAGAGAGTTTTTTGTTTTGTCCCTAATATAACACTGAAGATTTACACTTAAAGGCTAAGTTCACTTCTTTTTTTTTCCATCTCCCCTTTGCACCAACATACCATTAATGAACCTCAGTTGAAAAAATATTCAAGCTGTCTTTGATCTGGAGAGCAAGGCCTTACCTTAGCCTTTGGTAAATTTCTTAGAAAGCTTTTTCATTTCCTGGAATGTAGACAGAGGACAGAGGAGCCAGTAGGACCCCAAAAGCAGATTACACTGTTCAACAAATTTTTATTTTTTGCCAGTTTTGGAAACAAAAAGATCCATTTCTTAATGAATTTCACATTCTGAGTTCAAATATAACAATGAAATTTGTCAATTGGCTCTAGTTTTTCTGTAAACGGAAAGTTTTCTACTATAGGCGTAATGACTACATAATACACAATAATTATATAGATAGATGTCTTTCCACAAATATAAAGCAAGTGATATTGACTACATAACAAAGTCCTAAATGGCATAATATATTGCATAGGATTACCAAGAAAAATTATAGCCATAAGCTAAGTTGAATCATTTTAATACTTAGGATTCTCACTAGTTTTGTCTTCAGTTTGTGTCGGTTTTGCTTCTCTTGGCTTTTCTCTTGTATTCGAGGAAAGGGCTATCTCTTACAACTGCACGTGACTACACGCTTCAGGTTCTTCCTCACTTGACTCAACCACGAAGGATTTGGTGCTTTAGGAATTGGTAGCCCCTCTCCATGAGGAACTGGACGTATTGCCGATGGAATATTTGGATAGTGCACAGATAACTTTTTCTTCTTATTTAGCCCTTTTACAATTGGAGGCACCATACAAAAGTAACAATTACTAACATGATCTGTTGGCTCTCTCCAAATCATTGGCACAGCGAAAGGCATAGATGCCTTTTTTCCCATTCAACCATTGCTCCAGTGCCGTCCCACAAGAATTGCAGCATATATGTGGTGCCCAGCTCTTGTCCTGGTCTCCTATCTTGCAGCCAGAATACAAAGTTGTAGGCTTTCTTAATCATTCCTGTTATCCTCCTTTTTTGTGAGATAAAAGTTATTTCACCGCAGATATAGCAGAAATTATCTGCTTTATTCACACAAGTTCGAGGCATTACTGAGTAGCCTATATAAGCATAAAACGAAATGTAAAGACGCTGTTCGAACTACAATCAGCTACAGATACTGCAGCTTTTATGCAGTGAAGTGATGCAATTAAAGGCTAATATTGCATCATCTCAGTATACATGCAATTTTCTATTGGTCACCAGTATCAATTGCGCAATATGCAGCTGAAGTTGCATCATAATTTTGAATGGCTTACGTCATTAGATGGGTGAATATATCATGGAAACTAGAGCCAATCAACATTTTTTAGGGTCTTTCGTTTTCAGCACCCCAAAATTATGTAAGATTAGCTAATTTTTATGCCCAAAACTTTTTACCTGTTGAACAGTGTTACCAGCTGATCTCATTAGCACACACATCCTGCACTGACCTCATTAGTACACACTCTTCACCCATCAACTATTTTTTACAGCATCCCTGGATCTCTCCCCACGTGCATTTGCCTGGCTACCCCAGTGTCTCTACAGATGGGCTCAGGCCGAGTGATTGGATAAATGCTGTGTCCTCCGATTATATAGTATTGGTAAATCTAAAGGAGCTCATACAGAGATTGTACAATTAGATTGAATGGTGTATGGGCACCTTTATACACTTAAAATGACCTAGTTGCGCTTTCAGTGTAAGTAATTGTTAACTGCATACCAAACACGGAAACAAGCACACTTTTTACCACATGAAGCCACAAATGCAGCAAAACATGCAGTAAAAAATGTGCAACATGCATCACGCCAAAATGTCCCATGAGCTTTTGCTACGTGTAGCGCAGCCCATCGAAATCAACAGGCTGCCCTATGTGTGTCACTGGAAAAACGAACCAAAAAACATGCGCTCCCTCTACTCTCGGTCTAAATGGGGCCTGAAAGTGAAATTGGTGTGTTTACACAGAACAATGAGGCCCCATTCACATTTGTGTGTTTGCAAATGCATGGAAATTTACACAGAAAATGCATGTGATGCCATACGTTTCAGGAACACGCTGCAAATGTACATCGTGTTTGTGTTGTCATTACATGTTAACCACTTCAAGTCCGGACACTTTTACCCCCTTCCTGTCCAGGCCAATTTTCAGCTTTCAGTGCTATCACACTTTGAATGACAATTGCGCGGTCATGCAACACTGTACCCATATGAATTTTTTTGCATTTATTTGAGACAGATAAAGCTTTATTTTGGTGGTAATTATTCACCACTGTGATTTTTACTTTTTTTGCTATATAAATGAAAAAGTCCAAACATTTTGAAAAAAAAAGTGATTTTCTTATAAAATTTTGCAAATAAATAATCATTCTTCATAAATCTTGGTCAAAATGTATTCAGTTATCTTTTTAGTAAAACAAAATAACCCAAATTAGTTTATAACCAAAAATTATAATTTTTCAAAAAAATGTTTTACATTTTGTTTTTTAATATTATTTGGTTTTTTTTTTCTTTTGTTTTTTAACATACTGTCACCCTAGCAGTACTGTGTCACCATGGTGACACTGTACTACTTGTTGGGGGTGATGAAGTTTTTTTTTTTTACACTGATTGCTTTTACACCCATAAAGGCTGTAAAAGTAATCATTTCTCTTTCTCTCTGGCTGCATTCTTGCAGTCATTGAAAAATACTGTGTGAGCTGTGATTGGTCACAGCTTGTCACATGGTACAAGGCTGTTGTGAATAGCCTTGTACCATGTGACCTCTGATCATTCACATATTTCACAAGTAGTAAGCAATCATGTCAGAAGTGACATCTTGCTTACTACTATTCATGTGATCACTATTGGCCAATCAGTGATCACATGATCGGGACCTCACACAGAGGTCCCATACAGCGATCTGTGTTCCGATGTGTCCTCCGGACACAGCGGGCACCGGATCGCGGTGGCGTGCACTCCCTAGGAGTGCACACAGACTAAAATGGCGGGTGAATGGCAACCAGCTCCTGCACTGCTCCCGTCCAGCCGTTTATACTGTATACATGGGCCGGATGGGAAGTGGTTAACCACTTGAGCTCCTTAATGACCAGGCCTCTTTTTGCTACTTGGCGCTGCACTAATTCAACTGATAATTGCGCGGTCATGCAATGCTGCACCCAAACAAAATTTACGTCCTTTTTTTCACACAAATAGAGCTTTCTTTCGGTGTAATTTGATCACCTGTGCGCTTTTTATATTTCACGCTATAAACAAAAAAAAACGCCAAAAATTTTGAAGAAAAACAATATTTTTTATTTTCAGCTATAAAAAATATATAGTAAACTCAAAGTTGGTTATACATTTAGGCCAAAATGCATTCTGCTACATGTTTTTGGTAAAAAAAAATCCCAATAAGTGTATATTGATTGCTTTGTGTGGAAGTTATAGCGTCTACAAACTATGGTATAAATACTGCAATTTACGCCATTTTTCTGCTATACAGCGCTGCGCTAGTTTAACGGACAATTGCGCGGTCATGCAATATGGTACATAAATGAAATTTACATCCTTTTTTCCCCACAAATTGAGCTTTCTTTCGGTGGTATTTGATTGCCTGTGCGGTTTTTATTTTTTTGCGCTATAAAAAAAAAAGTCTGACAATTTTGAGGAAAAAAAAAACAATATTTTGGACTTTTTGCTATAAAACATGTCCAGTAAAAAAAAATGCAAAAATCAAATTTAGTCATAAATTTTCTGCCAAAATGCATTCTGCGACATGTCTTTGCTAAAAAAAAAAAACCCAATACGTGTAAATTAATTGGTTTACGTGAAAGTTATAGCGTTTACAAATGGCGGGGGAAGATACTGGGATTTTTAGGGTTTTTTTTATACTAATAATGGCGGCGATCAGCGAATTATGGCAGCGACCAGCGACTTATGGCGGGACTGCGTCGGACATTCTGACATTGGGGGGTACTGACTTGGGGTCACTGACATCCCCAAAAACACTAATACAGTGATCAGTGCAAAAAAAAAAAAAACTGACACTGTACTAATGGCAATGGGGAGGAAGGGGTTAACTTTATTTTGCAGGGAAGGGTTATAGGAGTGAGGGGAGTGTTTTACTAGGGGGCGGGGGTGTGTGCTGGGCGGGACAAGGCTGATCGAGAAAGTGAAACTATTCCTTCTCGATCAGCTCTTCCTTAAGCTGACAGAGAGGTGACAGACAGCACAGCTACTGCAGCTGTGCTCTCTGTCACCGTTTACCGCCGATCGCCGGGACATAGCCGCTAATGAGCGGCTGTGACCCGGCAACTGACATCTGCGGCGGTGATCCACAGGACAAATAGGGCGGCAGCGCGCCCCCTATTTGTTTACAAAACACACGTTTTAAAAACGTGGTTTTGCCTGTGAGTGCCGTCCTGCCACCGTATATGTACAGTGGCTGGGCGGCATGCGGTTAAAGGAACCCCAAGTGCAGCAAACACACTAAAAACTGTGGTAATGCACCGTGCTCCACTTCAAAAAAAGTTCTGGAGCTTTTTGGGGGCAATTGCTGCATGTAGGGTAGTCCGTTCCAATGAATGGGCTGCCCTATATGTGACCAGTGAAAACACCCAAAACAAACGCGCATGGGAACGTGAGCCTTCACTACATGGAGATGTGAACGGGGCCTGACAACTGTGTCTCCTTCCACTCCCTCCTATGCACTTACATAAAGATGAAGGGTGAACACACCCTATCACACCCTCTTCTGTGATGCAACGAGGAAGTGAAGGCTTCTGGGATGTGGCCTACAGGAAGTGAATGCTGAGAGACCATCAACAGGAAATGATGCAATTTGAAAATCCATTCACAATCTCACAGAAACTGACAAAAAAAATGAAATGTCCTGTGGATGAGATAAGTGGGAGAAAAGCACATTTTGATGGCTGGGCCAGAAACGGCATTGGAAAATGCTTCCATTTATTATGAAAAGTGAAATTCTGCCCAAAAAGGTGAACTTATCCTTTAAGACCTACCTGTGCAAACACTGGTGGGAACACTTGTTCTGAGGACAAATGTGGATTATACTTTGAAGAGATTTTCTCTACTTTCTACTGTGTCTCCTAGACAGAATTTTTTCAATTGGACAATGACAGCAAAAAGAAAAATTACATTTTTACATGTTTTCTACTCTAGCCAAAAAAATCTGGAAATTACCTTTTATCAGTTAAAGTGTCTGTAAATCCAAAACATGTTTTTTATTTTTGAGTATGGATGGGTTAAAATCCCTCTTGGGTTGTATTTTGCTCCCTTTGTCCAACTGTCCTTAACCCCTTCACGCCTAAGGGTAAAACAAATCTAAATGCCTAAGCACAATTTTGCAAAGTTGACATGTGTTAGTAAAACCGTACATATCATCACAACTACTTTGTGCATCCAGTTGAATTATACTGCGTTTTTTTCAGGACAAATTGGGATTTTCATTTGGTGGTAAATGGTAATGGATATCTCCTGATTTTTTTTTTTTATTATCAAAGGAAAACTGGCCCAAAATAGTAAAAAAAATATATAATTTTTATTAATTTAGCTGTACGTTTCTTGTTACTACCATAACTTACCACCAAAGAACAACCCAAAATAAATTCTGCAGCTCTTGACGATCGCAACAATACCATATATGTGTGTTATTTGTTGTATGTACTCGTAGTACAGCCCAGAAACAATAGTGCGCACTTTGTTTTGTTTTTTTACCTAAAACACACTGACACTGATACCAAATTTTTTTTTTTTTACCCTGACCTTCATCCAAACACTAACCCTGGCACTAACCTTGATCTAGGTATTTTTTCTTTATTTTTTATTTTATTTTTTAATATTTATTTATCTTTTTTTTTTTTTTCTACAAACATTTTTTTTTCCCCCTCTATGCCAGGAGTTAGAGAGATACAATGTATCTCTCTAATCCATTCATAGAGAGGGAAAAAAAAAACAAGGGGGCCGGGCTGTACAGTGACTGATCACTGTGATAGCCAATCAGCAGCTATCACAGCGATCATGTGAGCAGGAATCGGGCTCTCAGTGACACCGCGGTATTTGTGCTGGGAGCGCGCCGTGCGGTGTGCTCCCAGCAGAGAGACAGGTACACAAATATATGGCCCCACGGAAAAAAGCCCAGTTCTGTGGGGCTGCATATTTGTGTTACGTCAGCGTCAAAGTGTTTTAGGCTCAACAGAAAGTGAGAAGAAATCTCTACAAGGTGAAGTTAAATCCCATCCTAAAGTGTTGTCGCAGGAACAGTTGTCCCCACTGGGGTATTTTTCCTCATCTCTTGCAATTACTCTAAAATTGTGGCTTGCCTTTTTGTCTGAATGACAATGATCACCAGGGCAAGGAGAGATCCTGGCATTCATATGCCACTTCTCCAATCACAGAACATCTTGCATTCTTTGAAAAGAATACAAGATATTTTCTGAATGGAGGAGCTTCACAGAAAAGTGAACCGCTGTGATTGCTGTGCTCCAGCCCCAGCTGTCAGTTTCATCACCAAAACGTCTGCAGTGACATACCACCGGAAGCTGCAGGTACTTAACATTTTTCAAGAAACAAGCAGCAGCCACCAGTGGGGCACACATCATTAGGGGTGCCTTAGATTTTCCCCACAATTCAGCTTTAAATACCTAAACTCTGACCCTTGGCTTCAGTAAACACGTATGGATTATCTCAAAAAAGTCAAAAGTCAAAAATGATTGGTCCAATGCTAACATTGACCTAAGCCAGTTTGTACTATGCCCCATGTCAACTCATTTTTGGAGCTAAAGTCATGATGCTGAAAACCTTCATTCAGGCGTATAAAATGATTCATTGGAATCTCTCAGGGGTCAAGTGGTCTTTTTTTGGCAAAATTCTTACCTCTGAACCCAGCTTCAAATACTATAAGTGTAGCACCCTCCTAGTGTAGCACCCTCCTAAAAGGGGTAGGCCTCTACAAGGGCTGTGCCTAAAGTGTCCTTCGTTGTACACAGTTCTTTTTGGAGAATCCCACTTTTTCCCCAATCCCTATCAAGGTTACCCCCAAAATATAAACCCCAAAAAGAACACCACTGGCCTGTTTACTGAGCCAAATGGTGACTGTGTTTGTGTGCCTAGCTGCAGGACAGAATATGGGAAAAGACCCAAGGGACCTATCTAACTTCTGCCTCCTACGGGGTACTGCTGCACATGGGTGTCCCTAGGGTTGGTGTCACGCAGTGCAATAACAGTTGGTGACACCCTCTCCGACTCCGATCCACTATGCTCAATCCGCAGAACCGAACCATCCTGCGGGGATTGTCGGCATGCAACCTATACGGGGTGACACCAGACCCCACTCCACGAAAAGGTAAGTTGTAAAGAAAGCCAACGATCCCCGCAGGATGGATCGGATCCTTTCTGTGGGGATCGTTGGCTTGCTTTACAACTTATCTTTTGTGGAGCGGGTCCGGTGTCACCCCTTGCGGTAGGTGTCACCCGTTGTGGCGCGTACCCCCCGCACCTGCCCTCGGGACGCCACTGCTGCTGCATAAGTAACATAATTCAGAAAAAGCTTCATGTAACTGACTACCATGGCAAGTGGCCAGATTGAGGAGCTAATGTGCAGTGATACTGGGAGATATGAGATTATTATAGCCTTTAATTGACAGCAACAAGCTGAATACCACACCCTCGGTACAAAAAAAAACCAGCAGCAGCTTTTAGGCAATCACACTTTTATTTTGAAAGTAATAAAAAGGTACATAGAGTTAATAGAAAGCATGGGGATTACATCTTCAGGAACAGCTCAGTATTATGTATGTGTGTTATAGGAGCGGAAAGTCAAGATTCCAGATGCAAATAAGATGATCATTAGAATAAACCATAGTGTGGCTATAGTAGTAGTGGTGATGTTCAGGTTACGGGCGGTGTCACTGTAACTCTTTGCACCAACCCTGTTTCCCAGCAACTTCTGATCTCTGGACTGTAGAAGGAAAAAAATGAAAGACAGATTAGAGTTGGCTCAGATTTTAACACACCCTTAAAGCCTAAGCATGTGTTCAAACAAAAATCAGCACAAGGGACAGTACTAATCTGATGGGTCCTTTGCTGCTAGCTCCTGCTTTCCTTGAAATCTTCCTCCTCTAATCTTGTGGTGCAGCAGTAGTTAATACAGTTGTGTTCAAAATAATAGCAGTCAGACATCACTAACCTGATCAATCACTGTTTTTGGTAGAAATGATATTTCTACATGGCAAATAATTTACTAGCAGGTGTAGTAGAGTAATAGAAATCCAACAGACCCAACAGTCATGACATGCATGCTGCTGATTCTGTGTCATTGAATCACTAATTGAAAGGGACATGTTCAAAATAATAGCAGTGTGGAGTTCTATTAGTGAGGTCATTCATTCTTTGAAAAACAGGTGGGCAATTATTGCCCTTATTTAAGGAAGGAACACAGCAAATGTTGTACATGCTGGTTACAGTGCATTTCTCTCTGGGATTCTGAGGAAAATGGGTCGTTCCAGACATTGTTCGGAAGAACAGCGTACCTTGATTAAAAAGTTGATTGGAGAGGGAAAAACATATAAAGAAGTGCAGAAATTGATAGGCTGCTCAGCTAAAATGATCGCAAATGCTTTAAAATGGCAACCAAAACCTGAAAGACGTGGAAGAAAGTGAAAAACTACCATTCAAATAGATAGAAGAATAGCCAAAATGGCAAGGACTCAGCCAACAATCAGCTCCAGGAAGATCAAAGAAGGTCTAAAGTTACCTGTGAGCAGGGGCAGACTGACTATTTGGAAACTCGGGCACTGCCAAAGGGCCCGGGGTCAGTAGGGGGCCCCACGAGATGCCCCTGGTACCTTTTTCATATGCTTTTTTGAGTTTGGGCAAGGACACGGGGGCCCCATAATCCCCTATTGCCCGGGGGCCCCATGAGTTGTCAGTCCGCCCCTGCCTGTGAGTACTGTTACAATTAGAAGACGCCTATGTGAAGCCAAGCTATCTGCAAGAAGCCCCCACAAAGTCCCACTGTTAAAAAAAAGGCGTGTGCTGAAGAGGTTACAATTTGCCAAAGAGCACATTGACTGGCCTAAAGAGAAATGGCGCAACATTTTGTGGACTGATGAAAGTAAGATTGTTCTTTTTGGGTCTAGTGGCCGGAGACAGTTTGTCAGACGACCCCCAAACACTGAATTCAAGCCACAGTACACTGTGAAGACAGTGAAGCATGGTTGCGCAAGCATCATGATATGGGGATGTTTCTCATACTACGGTGTTGGGCCTATTTATCGCATACCAGGGATCATGGATCAGTTTGAATACATCAGAATACTTGAAGAGGTCATGCTGCCTTATGCTGAAGAGGAAATGCCCTTGAAATGGGTGTTCCAACAAGACGACCCCATACACACCAGTAAACGTGCAACATCTTGGTTCCAGACCAACAAGATTGACGTTATGGAGTGCCCAGCCCAATCCCCGGATCTTAATCCAATAGAAAACTTGTGGGGTGACATCAAAAATGCCGTTTCTGAGGCAAAACCAAGAAATAGAGAAAAACTGTGGAATGTAGTCCAATCATCCTGGGCTGGAATACCTGTTCACAGGTGCCAGAAGTTGGTTGACTCCATGCAACACAGATGTACAGCAGTTCTCAGAAACAGTGCTTATAAAACTAAATATTAATTAAGTGATTCAAAGGAAAGCAAAATCTTCAAACATTTTTCAGTTTATATAGTGAATGTTTGAGTTTGTAAAGAAGAATACAAACACTGCTATTTTTTGAACAGTCTAATATTCACTTTTCTTCAATTTTTTTAGAGGAACAACACAAATTTGATATATTTTTCTTCATGTTTTGATTTGGAATAGAATGTGTAGTGTTCCCAATGCATTTGTGTGTATGGAAATAAAAGCTATTAGAAGGATTTTGAGCTTTATTCAGTTTTTTCAACAGACTGCTATTATTTTGAACACAACTGTAGATGTGATGGAGCTGTGATAGGTACCCAGCTTTGCCTGCCCCTTTACCCCAATCCAACATGGGCTGAGAAATGCCTGAAAGGAAGTTATCAATTGGACCATGTGTTATATGTAGTATAAGGCTTTCTTGAAAAGTATCAAAATACAAAATTGCACCGAAAAACATAAAAAACCACTAACCACCACAACACATAAATAAAAAGACAATGTTGATTTGGCTGCTCAGCCAGCCCACACATCACACATACAGTATCTCACACTGCCCACCGGCTCTAATAAACACAGAATGTGTCTTGTAGGGACTGGGTGGAGGCAACCTGATTAACCCTAGGTTCACATCTGTGCGGGTGGTGCTGCTGCAGATCCGCACGAAAATCTGCGCAGCCGCATCACCCACACAGAGAAATACAGACACGCGGGCGGGTGCCATTTTCTAATGGCACAGCACCCGCACTGGAAAACGCAACTGTACTGGGAACCGAGGTTCCCATGCGGGCTGCGTTTTCCAAAGAAATGCAGGGACTTCTTCCCTGTGTGTCTCAGGCATGGGAGTCCATTCACAAGAATGGGCTCCTATGCCGTGCAAAACACGGCCTGTACGGCCACATATATGTGAATTGGGGGTAATGGGGCTGAGTAGAAATCCACCAGACAGATGGGTGATCAGAGAATCATATATTGCTCCAGTGCCAGGCAGTGTCCACTTGGATCTCAGCCAAAAGGTAACCTAGTACTCAGTAGAGGTGGAAACGGGCGAATGTTGACTCATTACAGTCTAATGGCTGATACACTCCAACATGTCCAATCAGTTGTGGCAAGTAGTCTCGTCCAGAGAGTAGTACAAGTATGTAAGTATCCTATACAGTAAATGGTGCTAAATATAAAGCAGATGTAATGTTAGGATTCTCCCCAAGTAGTATATATCGGGGAGAACTTGTAGCCGGACTATGCAATATACTGTTGGGTCCAAGCTGCAGCTCACCCAGACCCATGGAATCTGGCCACCTTCCATCGGCATCAGCAGGGGAATGCAGAGACGCTGCAGTACATCCACAGCCATCATACATCCATAGTATAGCATCTATGAATGGAGGAGGGGGAAGAAAGGGCAGGACCTACCCCAGGCACTCGTGGCAATCCTCACCTTGTCAGGAGGTGTAAGGGAAGCCCTCTCGTCAGCTTATCCTCTACCAGGTACGTGACAAGTGGCTACCAGGAGGAACAACAGCACCAAGTGGGGAATGCCCTATCCAATGCTCCAAGAGTAGTTGCAGAAACTGTTCATGTATTGATCTAGTCTATGTCTTTGTATGGGCAAGAAAAATACTGATTGTATATTGTATATTTAGCCTTTATAATTTTAAACTATATGTCCCAACCACGGCACCACCTGCCTGGAGTTTACATGTTCTCTTCTGTGCCTGTGTGGGTTTCCTCTGGGTACTCCGGTTTCCTCCCACACTCCAAAAGACATGCTGGTAGGTTAATTGGCTCCTGTCTAAATTGGCCCTAGTATGTGTATGTATGAATGTAAGTTAGGGCCCTTATTTTGTACGCTCCTTGAGGGTTAGGGACTGATGTGAATGTTCAATATATATGTAAAGCGCTGCGTAAATTGACAGCGCAATATAGGTACCTGTAATAAAGAAATAATAAAAAAGGGTTTTTTTTATCTTCAAAAAAGCATTCTGGTTTGTGGATAGTTCCACACTTTAGTTTGGTATGTGTTGCATTAACAAGGGATGTTGGCACCATGTCTACATATAGACAATAAAGAGATCTGCTCCTCCTTATATCATTCGTATTTATAATTATTGAACTTTATAAATATTGAACGATTTCATTTATTTTATTAGAATATTATTCTGTTGTATTTTTTTAACCATGGCGAAAGAGTCACTTTAAAGGGTAACAAGTAATAAATGTACACATGGGTTACTTGAGGTGAGGTTCTCAGAGGGTGCTAAATAAATATAGGCTTGTATAATGATGAACCTAAATTTATAGATGTTGAGCAGCACTTCTTAGAAGTATTCACAGACATTCGATAACTGTTGTCTCCAATGTAGTGGTCTCCAAACTGTGGCCCTGGGGCCCTGGGGCCAGATGCGGCCCTTTGCTTGCCTTTATCCAGTCCTTGAGGCATTATTCCTTCTACTAACACCAACAATGGGGCATAATTCCCTCCACTGACACCAACAATGGGGTACTATTCCCTCCACTGAACACCAAAAATGGGGTACTATTCCTCCCACTGACACCAACAATGGGGCATAATTCCTTCCACTGACAACAAAAATGGGATACTATTCCCTCCACTGACACCAACAATGGGGTACTATTCCTCCCACTGACACCAGCAATGAGGCATAATTCCTTCCACTGACAACAAAAATGGGATACTATTCCCTCCATTGACACCAACAATGGGGCACTATTCCTCCCACTGACACCAGCAATGAGGCATAATTCCTTCCACTGACAACAAAAATGGGATACTATTCCCTCCACTGACACCAACAATGGGGCACTATTCCTCCCACTGACACCAGCGATGGGGCATAATTCCTTCCACTGACACCAATTATTTCTCCACCAATATCAAAGATGGGGCATTGTTTACTCCCACTGAGCACAGTCCTGCCCCCCTAAAGTCTGAAGGACAGTAAACTTGCCCTTTTTTTAGAAAGTTTGGAGACCCCTGGTCTAAAGCAAATGATATGCCTACTCAGATCACCAGTGCATATTTATGATGGTGGGGGTTGGAGGACAGACCGAGGTCCAGGTTAATTTACAGAAAACAGAAGTGATCAGGTGGTGAAAAGGACCTGACAATCAAACTTTCACAAATAGATGGGTATTTCACCAATAACCAGGAAAATATGCAAACAAGAATTTATCTTACCTAATCATTTAGCTGTTTAGCCTTTTGTGGATCAGAGCATTTTTCACAATTTTGATAATGACCTATTGATTTTGCAGTAACTTATTTTGTCATTATTTACAATACCAATGTACATACAGTATACCATTTGATTGATTTTTGTATTGATTTCTAAAGCTGGCCATAAATCAGTAGAATTTTGTTCGCATTTTCAGAACATTCATTCAATTTTCTAATGGTTAATAGAGTCAAATCAGCGTTCTTTTTTTTTTCAACAACAGTGACAAGAAATTTCAAAGGAGCAGGACTGAAAATGTAAAACAAACTGTAAATGTGGTTTTCAATAGAAAGAAATTACCCACATGGAAGAAAAATATATTTGAAATATATTTTAAAAGTATTCTTCCCAAATATATTGACATATATGTGAAATACTACAATATATTTCAAAATATATTTCAATAAATAAATATATATATATATATATACTGTATGTTGAAATATGTTTTTATTACAAAATATATGAAAAATATTTTTAAAAATATATTTTTTAAAATATATTCTTCATATTTTTTTAACATATAAAAAAAAGTAATTTTAACATATATTTTTTTTACATATATCTATAAATGCATTCCAGAGATTTATACTGCATTTTTAAAGACACACAGTGTATTTGAAATGTATTTTTAAAAATATTTTTTCATATATTTTGTAATAGAAATGCTTTTCAACATACTGTGTGTGAGTGTGCATATATATATATATATATATATATATATATATATATATATTGAATATGGCCAAAATTTTAACATTTCAAATATATGTCAATATATTTGGGAATAATATTTTTAACATATATTTCAAATATATTTTTCTTCCATATGGGTATACATATTGTAATGAAACCTGTTTAATATGTTTTGGATTCTCTTCAAGTAGCAGGTCTGGATGAAATTTTAAGGGCTTTCAAACAAACTTAGTTGACTATTTTTGACAAGAAAGAATTTTCAGAATGAATATCTATGGATATTGGAATAAAAATCTAAACAACTTTTATTAGAATGGTTCTAAACTCTAAAAAGTTTTGTTACCTTAATGCATTCCCTGCATTAAGGTAAAAAATTCCCCAGTAACTGCTACCCCAACCATAAACACTTACCTGACACCTCTCAGCAATCCAGCTCTGTCCCGCCTGCAGCACTACCTTCCTCTCTTCCTGGTCTCACAGGAGACAATGAGAGCAGATGGAGCAATAGGCTCCTGCTGCTCGCACTCTTCTGTGAGGAGGCAGTAGGGGGGATTGGCTTGCTGCTGCTGTGTGTGTGTCTATGAACACACACAGCCCAGCTCAGGAGTGCATGCACACAGATGCCCTCCACAAGAAGTTAGAAGCTCGCTGGGTTGCTACCAAGTCAACAAGTATTTTTCTATATCTTTAGCTTTTTATAAGAGACATGGGGAAAAATACTTTTAATGTAGAGCTGTTCTGAATATGTTTTTTTTCTATTTTTCCCAGACATCACTGAATAGCCCCCTCTGTCATTCAGAAGATAATGTCTTAAAGCTCAACTATGGCTTTACAAAAATTAAAAATACTGCCTGCTGTAAAAAATGGGCTCCTAAAGCAATATTTACTCTGTAAGTGCACCCTGCAGAATCCATGCTCTGTGATTCAATTCCAATCCTCTTTTGGGCAGAGTGGCCCCCAACATCATTCAGCCTACTCGTGAGCCCAGGGCATCATAGACATATCCCTTGTGGATGCACATGACCAGACCAAAGACCCCAGGAAAACATGATGAAAAAAAAAACACAGCTGGTGGAAAGGATGCAACTGCAAGAAATGGGGCCCAGGGCCAGCCTGGCTGCACTGATTTTGCAATAGATATCGAATAGATGCATACAGCATGTGGCTATAGTAGTTTCAGTTTGCCACTGACACCTTTAAAAGTAATTGACATTCTATTTCTGTCGAAACTCTGAATGAGTTGTTTGATGATAATACCATAAAATGCCAAGTGATTCCAAATAATGTACCATTCTCACTGTCATTATGAACCTAGTGTCATACCTTCACAGAGAACACGAGAGCAGCAAACCCCAAGCAGCAGCAATTCATGTACAGAGTGCTGAAGATGGACCATATGATGTGATCTTTGATCACAGAATTGTCTTGAATGATGGTCACCACAGTAGATGTTGGAGGGTAATAAGCAGGGGCATTGTAGGCTGGCACTTCTCCTTTATGTGGTTGATAGCCGTAGTTAATTTGACTGTTATGCATTTCTTCTCCGGGGTTAAGAGAACTAGATGGCTTCTCAGTATCCATTCTGTATGAAAAGGTATAGATGATCACTTGGAACCTGATGAAACTACACCGGAAAGTTTCAGGGAGGTTTTATATGGTGCGAAGTAGAGGAGGATATTGCAAAAGTTCAAAGTGAAATTCCTATTTTCTTTTTCCTTTTTTTTTTTCAGATACTGACTAGTGAGCATCCAGTTTCAGGCACTTTTCACAATCAAGAAAGTGTTACAAAATTAAATTGCCCGGAAGAAACATGTTCTCCTTTAACTCTTTCGCTGTTAAACCTAAAAGCTCCAAAACAATATATGTTTTCTATAAAATACACAAAATCAGTCAATAAAGACATAACAGTGTGGTAAAAAACAATTTTTTTTCTGCTCCTAGAACTTGAAGCTCAGAAAACGCTAATAGCCGAAAACAGTGTGCATGGACACATAACAAACAAACAGCATAAAAAACACATACAACAAAACAAATGTGTGTATCTGTCCAAGAGTCCCAACAAAAAAACAGAAAAGTGTGTGGGGACTTTTAGGGTGCTAGTGTACCCTCAGGATAGAACACTACCATCATACCACCATATCACCTTCCTAACCTCCTACAATGTATCTTGGTGACATTTTGGGCTATGGCTGGTTACCATACAACAAGGAAGGTGTAAAGTGGGATTCACTGTACTGAAGGGTTCATGCTTTTTACCTGTTTTATGGGAGTGTGTATGTTTGTTTCATTATTTATGTATTAATTTGATGTGTCCAAGTGTTCTATCCTAAGGGTACACTAGCTCCTTAAAATCCCCAAGCGCTATTCTGTTTTTTGTTGGGATTTGTAATATTTGGGACGTGGTCAGGGGTGGACTGACAACTCAATAGGGGATCATGGGGCCTCTGTGTCCTTGCCCAAACTCAAAAATGCCTATGAAAAAGGTACCAGGGGCATCTCATGGGGCCCCAACTGACCCTGGGCCCTCAGGCAGTGCCCGAGCTTCGAAATGGTCAGTCCACCCCTGGACATGGTGTTGATGGATCAGGCATACCAATCATGAAATCTGTCCAGGAATCAACTGAATTTTAAAATGCTTTTTTTCATCTTGTCACTCCCCTCCCCCAATTTCCCACATTTCTTTTTAACTAATTTCTTTTTCTTCTTGCTCCTCTATTGTTCCTTCTAACTATCTGCACCTCGCTTTTCTCCAACTTCCATTCTGTTCCCCTCCTTCTGGACCCTCACCCTGAGGTCATCACAGAGGACAAGGGGGCACTCTTTACATCTGGAGGATAAGATATTCAATCTCCAAATATGGAAAGGTTTCTTCACAGTAAGAGCTGTGAAAATGTGCAATAGACTCCCTCAAGAATTGGTTCTGGCCAGCTCAGTGGATTGCTTTAAAAAAGGCCTGGATTCTTTCTTAGATACACAGAATATAACTGGATACTAACATTTATAGGTACAGTGCATCCAGAAAGTATTCACAGCGCTTAACTTTTGCCACATTTTGTTATGTTACAGCCTTATTCCAACATGGATTACGTTCATTTTTTTCCTTAATATTCTACAAATAATACCCCATAATGACAACGTGAAAGAAGTTAATTTTGAAATTTTTTCAATTTATAAAAAAATGAAAAAAAAACACATGTACATAAGTATTCACAGCCTTTCCTCAATACTTTGTTGAAGCCCCTTTAGCACCAATTACAGCCTCAAGTCATTTTGAGTATGATGCTACAAACTTGGCACACCTATTTTTTGTCAATTTCTCTCTTTCTTCTTTGCAGTACCTCTCAATCTCCATCAGCTTGGATGGGGAGCGTCGGTGCACAGCCATTTTCAGATATCTCCAGAGATGTTCAATCGAGTTTAAGTCTGGGCTCTGGCTGGGCCACTCCAGGACATTCACAGAGTTGGCCCGTAGCCACTCCTTTGTTATGTGGGCTGTGTACTTAGGCTCGTGGTCCTGTTGAAAGATGAACTGTCACCCCAGTCTAAGGACCAGAGCGCTCTGGAAGAGGTTTTCATCAAGGATGTCTCTGTACATTGCTGCATTCATCTTTCTTTCGATCCTGACTAGTCTCCCAGTTCCTGCCGCTAAAAAACACCCCCACAGCATGATGCCACCACCATGCTTCACTGTAGGGATGGTATTGGCCAGGTGGTGAGTGGTGCTTGGTTTCCTCCAGACATGACACTTGGCATTCAGGCCAAAGAGTTCAATCTTTGTTTCATCAGACCAGAGAGTTTTGTTTCTCATGGTCTGAGAGTCCCTCAGGTGCCTTTCGGCAAACTCCAGGCAGGGTACCATTTGCCTTTTACTGAGGAGTGGCTTCCGTCTGGCCACTCTGCCATTAAGGCCTGATTGGTGGAGTGCTCCTGATATGGTTGTTCTTCTGGGAGGTTCTTCTTTCTCCACAGAGAAATGCTGGAGCTCTTTCAGAGTGACCATCGGGTGCTTGGTTACCTCCCTGGCTAAGGCCCTTCTCCCTCGATCGCTCATTTTGGCCGGGCGACCTGCTCTAGGAAGATTCCTGGTGGTTCCAAACCTCTTCCATTTATGGATGATAAAGGCCATTGTGCTCATTGGGACCTTCAATACTGCATACATTTTTCTGTACCCTTCCACAGATCTGTAGAATCCTGTCTCGGAGGTCTATGGACAATTGCTTGGACTTCATGGCTTGGTTTGTGCTCTGACATGCACAGTTAACTGTGGGACCTTCTATAGACATATTTATGCCTTTCCTAATCATGTCCAATCAACTGAATTTCCTACAGATGGACGCCAATCGAGTTGTGGAAACATCTCAAGGATGATCGGTGGAAACATCTCAAGGATGATTGGTGGGAACAGGATGCACCAGAGCTCAATTTTGAGTGTCATAGCAAAGGCTGTGAATACTTATGTACATGAGTTTTTTTTTCGTTTTTTACTTTTAATAAATTGCAAAGATTTCAAAACGAACTTCTTTCATGTTGTCATTATGGGGTATTGTTTGTAGAATGTTGAGGGGAAAAAATGAATTAATCCATTTTGGAATAAGGCTGTAACATAACAAAATGTGGCAAAAGTTAAGTGCTGTGAATACTTTCTGAATGCACTGTATAATTGATCCAGGGAATATCCGATTGCCTCTTGGGGGATCATGAAGGAATTTTTTCCACTGCAGGAGCAAATTGGATCATGCTTTGCTGAGTTTTTTTTTGCCTTCCTCTGGATCAATTGGGGGTATAGGATTATAATTTTTTTTTTTTTGGTTGAACTGGATGGACTTTTGTCTTTTTTCAGCCAGACTAAATATGTAACTATGTAATATAGAGGTTGGATAAAACGTTTAATGCAGCATATCACTTTTGGTAGTAAAATAGTATATTTTGTATAGATATGTACACATCAGACCAAAAAGAGGGACAACTGAGGGGCCAGTTCCTCCAAATGAGAAGGAGTTGGTAGATATGCAAACATGCCTGCTTCTGCTTATAACATTTCCACTTTTGCAGTCAAACCCGAGTATATGGTGTTCCCATTCACACCAAATACCTAAAAAAGTAAAAAAAATATATTTTTTATCTTTTAGATGTTTCTAAAGAGAAGATGTCATGACTGATTTAAAAAATGTCTTTAAAGTCTTATATTGTTTTGTCCCCAACACTATCCCTCCTTAAGATGAAATGCAGGAAGGTATTTTCAACCCTTTGTTAGTACAGTGTTCAAATCTACTTTACAGCTGATAAGGAAAAATGTAAACAGTAAAATGGTAAACACCAAATATAAAGCTGGTGTTATCACAATTTGGCTGCACAAAAAAAGGACTCTTGCAGTTGGGAGCAATAAAAAAGGCAGATGAGACAATTTTTATCACCCCCACCCCAAGCTTCAAAGACAGCCAGACGGAGTTGTATATGTATCCCTGTTGCATTTGGCCAGTACTACCCCCCCCCAAACACAACCCATTCAAGTGAATGGGGCTGCGCCACAACCACCCTGCATCTGTGTGCATTGCAGCACAGTGGTGCAGGCTTTTAGGGGTTAAAATATACAGTGAGGAGGGGACATATCACATTGAATACAGTACCGAATGGGTGTGAAGGGGGACTTAAAAATAAATCATTTATATCCTGCAGAGTACAGATTGTGCCATGATAACATTAGTTTAGCTGATCTGTTTGTTAGCAGGAGTAATGAGCTAGTTTGCCAATAGGTGGATCCAAAAACTGTAGCTGCTGACTTTTAAAATACAGCCACTTACCTGTCCCTCGGTCCAGCGGTGTCCTCACCACTGCTGGTTTCACCGGCCATCTTCTCTCCCCGGTGCCGGCATCTTCAGTGTGGGCACCCAGCTGTGACAGCTTGCGGCTTCACAGCCGGGTACCCACTGTGCATGTGCAAGTAGTGCTGAGCTTTGTGATTGGCCACGTAGTCTTCTGGGTCCTGTCACGTGTCCCAGAAGACTACAGGGAGGGAGGGGGGAGGACAACTTCTGATCGATCGCAGCAAAAGTGGGAGCGGGTACCTGTCAAATTCGGGTACACGCTCCCCAAAGGTGCCAATCCTTAATGGGGAGCGGGGGGACAAAGGCTTAAAGCGTAAAATTTCCCCTTTTGGGTGGAGCTCCACTTTAAGGATACCATGCAGTTCTGGTTACCAGCCCTGAAGAAGGATGTGCTGGAACTGGAGAGAGTCCAGACAAGGGCAAAAAAGCTAATAAGGGGACTGCAGGACCTCAGTTACAAGGAACGACTACAAGCATTAAACGTATTCTCCCTGGAGAAGAGCTGCTTGAGAAGAGATAAGATAGCAATATACTAATACCTTAATGGTGATTCAGTTTCTGGGACCTTAAAAAGACACGTGGTCACTCATTGAAATTGGAGAATAAGCGGTTTAACCTTAAACTGTGTAAGGGGTTCTTTACTGTCAGAGCGATTAGGATGTGGAACTCCCTTCCACAATCAGTGGTATCAGTGGGGAGTGTCAATAGTTTAAAAAACGTATTGGATGGGCATCTTAGCGAATGCCATATACAAGGATATGGGAATTATTATTGACATAAACACACACATGCACACAGGTTGAACTGGATGGACTTGGTGTCTTATTCAACCTTACCAAATATGTAACTATGTAACATATATACATACTTCCTGCATGTGAGAGGGAAGGTGTCCTAGTTCTAGCATCTTAGATGGGTGAAAAAAAAGATCCCCTGTGTGTTTAGCCAATCCTTACAATATAATTTGTCTATTATCAAATGCATTACAGAATAGTGGCTTTGCAATGGTTTTGTTGCTTGAAAATACAGACTATTTGATAGTGTGCAGACTGTTCTACATTGCATGTTGGCAAATTCTCAAAAAAAAAAACCCCTCCATACCTGTTACGTAGTCAATAGTCATGTGTTTATGAAACACAACTGTAATATTCAGTGATGTTGCAAATGCAGATTTCACATTCTGTTGTCAATCTGTACTGTAAGAATGACATTCATCTCTGTCCCATTATAGGCATAATGTTTTTTCTACACTAAAAGAAAATGCTCACACCCAGAGTGCAGACAGCTGATAGCATATCAGGGAGATGTCATGACTGCAAAAAGTCTAAAACAACAGCAGAGGCACTACATAATACTCCAGATCACTTTTTGTTTTTACCTACAAGCAATGCTGGGAAAAGGTCATTCAATGACCTGGGCAAAGATACCAAACTGTGCCCCCCTCCTTCCAAGCAGGGAGATGGAGATGGGAATAAGGTGGGGCATGCAGCACGTGCGACATGTATAATTCTATCACGTAGTAACATATGGGCTAACAGCGAGGCAGAAAGTCATATCCTGGCATCAGTGAGGAAAAAAAATGCCTGTCTTGGTGGTGTCACTAAAGATGCCCCTGCATCATTAGTGTCAAAGAAGAAAAAATTCTCCTGCATCAGTGGTGTCATTGAAAGAACAAAATGTCCCTGCATTGGTGGTGTCACTGGAAGGACAAATGTCCTTGGATGCACTTTGGGTGTGTTGATCGCATTTGGATGTCCGTGGAAATGGAGCCCTATTCAGCCATTATTATCCATTTCTAAAATGCTAAGTATCAAATTGCATCCATACTCAGAAGCTTGTCATCTCAGAGAAATGACACGTAAGGCTGTGGACATTCCTGTGCGATTCGTAGTGTGAACCTAAGCTAGATAGCTGCCCACTCAATAAAAAAAAAATGCCTAAAAATGTTGAGGGGAGGACATAAAGGAGAACATCCCCTTTAGGGTGAAGTTCCACTTTAACTTCTCCCCCGACCACCCTATAGCAGATATACTGCTACGGGGTGGCATGGGTGCACAAAATCACGTATATATTTGTGATGTTGGTGCTCCCTACCCACGCCGCCATTCACGGCCGCAGCTGTCATTCACCAGGTCCTGGCCAGTGATTACTCACCAGTGCCTGGTGATTGCCGAGCATCTCCGACGTGAAGGAGAACTGTATGTAAACAATACAGTTCTCCTCCCTGTCAGCTCGTGCACACTGCTTTGGATGGCTGTGCGCAAAGCAGTGTGATTACAGTGTAAAGCACACAGACAGACACAAGTAAAACAGCACACAGCTAACCCTTTGATCGCCCCTCCTGTTAACTCCTTCCTGCCCAGTGCCATTAGTACAGTGTCAGTGTTTTTTTTTTTTTAGCACTGATCACTGTATTGGTGTCACTGGGGATGTCAATGACACAAAGTCAGTTCACCCCAGTGTTAAAATGCCCGCCGCAATCCCATTATAAGTCACTGAGTACCTATACCGCCATTTGTAAACGCTATAACTTTCACGTAAACCAATTAATATACACGTATTGGGATATTTTTAACAAAGACATGTCGCAGAATACATTTTGGCCTAAATTTATAATGAAATTTGATTTTTTAATATTTTTTTTACTGGACATGTTTAATAGTAAAAAGTCAAAAATATTGTTTTTCTTTCAAAATTTTCGGTCTTTTTTTTTAAGCGCAAAAGAAATAAAAATGCACAGGCTATCAAATACCACCAAAAGGAAGCTCAATTTGTGGGGAAAAAGGACGTAAATTTCATTTGGGTGCAGCGTTGCACAACTGCGCAATTGTCAGTTAAAATAAAGCAATGCCGTAACGCAAAAAATGGCCTGGTCAGGAAGGGGGGTAAATCCTCTGGAGGGCGAGGGGTTAAATAATGTTATTCCTATCTTTTCAATATTGAATGAATTAGTGTCCAATTGTAAAGACAAAAACCTCAAGCACCTTCCTTACCTACTGTAGGTATTGCTTCTCCAATGTGTGGCCCTGCTTTGTGAGGGAGCCCTCATGTCTCCCCTGTCCTCCAAGAGAAGGCAGAGCAGCTCCCTCTCTTAAATCTCCCCCCCTCCACAGTCGTACCAGCTGCAGTATGGGCATCCTGTGAGATCAGAGATGATGTCATCAATGGGGTCCGCCCACCCTCGCCTCCTTTTTTTCCCTCTCATGGAGTAAAGTGTTTTGCTCAGCAAGCGTCTGTTCTGCAAGCTTTCTCCTGTCTCGTCAGACTGCCGTTGGAGGGAGTCAAATTTAGAAACCCCCCTCCAGCAGCTGTTGTAGCTCCTGATCTGTGCTCTGTTCTCCAGCTGCCTGAAACGGCAGTATGATCACTCCTGTCATTTAGGAGAATGCGGCACTGACAACCTCCCTGCAATCCCTCCTTCACAGGACCACACAGCGCCCAGGGCAGGTGCCCCTCCCACCCCGCCCCCCTTGTCCCAGCCTGCCTACGAGGAACCCGTGCAATCATTTTCAGGTCTCCTGGAACTAGGGTCGCTACCTCATCCCTTTAAACTGAACACATATTATTACACAGGTTCTAAGGCTAATTTAATGCTTTTAAGGCACTCGGTGAGTTTAATTACCACCTTAATCAGCCACAGAACCTGTGGATATAATATGGTAATTTCGTTTTAAAGGGATGAGGTGGTAACCCCACATGGAACCTCTACTATAAAATGATTACACCTACATTAGCACAATTAATAAGGCAGGGTACACTCCTAAACCTGCATTATTACACTTGTTAAGGCATCCATTCATTGAATCATCTGTCCCATAAAGGCTGAGATTGAGCTCTGCATTCACTTTTGTAGCAGTTATTTTTTTTGTTCCTGGTCCCAATCTTGCACAATGTCCTATTGTCTCTTTCAGTCCATTGACCATGTGGACCATGTCAATTGAATATGCGTCATAACCTTTGATACTGTACCTTGCAACACGGCAAATAAATTGGCAACTTCAGTCACAGAGGCACCAGCCAAGTGGGCACCAACAATTTGAAGCTCAGTAAGCTCTGACATAACATCATATTACTAGCAGTGCATGCAGTGAATGACGTAAGTGAGGCTTGCCACCTGTTAGCTAGGTGTCTCATCACACAGCGGAAGCAAAAGAATGTTCCATCACTTCCGCTTTCAACGCAAAACGTTTTGTCACTTTCACACCTGCAAATAATGTAGTGTTTCCATTGTTTGTCCAACCCCTATGTAATACAGAACACCTCTCCCTTATTTAATGGAAATGAGAAGAGGGAATGGTATTCTGCAGTCCTGTTCTAAGATGGTAATGCTGCTCCTCCACAGATACAGTGCAGTGAGTGAGTGTTGTCATCCTAGGACAGAAAGTGTTTTAATGGAAGGAAAATAAAGGAAAAAAGTCTGACAATGAAGGTCCAAGTTAAGTCAATCAAAAGATTGGTCTGCTGCAGTATATACAATTTTTGTTGGGTTTAACACACTTTTATTGAAAGAGGCTTGAAGAGATCTTCATTCACAGATCACCATGATGTAGAGATAAAAAGGCTGCAGGTAGCAAGAGCATATCTGAAGATTAAGCCAAAGGCACAGGTTATATTTCAGAAGCATCGCTTCAATTTATTTATATCAAATTTATCTGAGCCCCAAAACATATAAAATGTATATTCAAGCCCATTCAGTAAAACAGTAGAAGAGGCAAATTGATAAGTACACTGCCCATAGCAGTCATATTCCATCTTGTACTGACCTGATGTCAATAAAATGAATTCTGATTGTTTCCTACACTTTCTGTTCGGTCCTTACACTCTTCTACAATCAAATGAATGGTTCAATCAACCCTTTATAACCCAAGCCAGCTCCTTATTGCAGTCTTCAGTCGCACAAAGTTATAAATGATGACAGACACTGTGATCAAAAACCAGAGTATAGTCAGTACAGTGGAGAAGATATTTAAATAGCGGGCAGTGGTGCTGTATTGCCTGGCTTCACTTTGCTTTCCATTCAACTTCTGGTCCCGAGACTGAAAGGAAAAAAGAACAAAAATAATTAAAGGGCAATCACCAGTACCTTATATTCCAGTAGATAACTATTTATCTAGTTTGAGAACACTGCATGTTTATAGTTTGGCACACAATAGTTGAAAGGAGAACTAGGACCAAGGCTCTTTTGGCCATACTTCACCTGTAGGTCACAGTAGTACACTTTGTTCTGCATTCCTGTGACCCATATTCAGCTGACAGTGGGCTAAAGTCCACTGATGGCTGATGTCACTCAGCTGCACTAGACTCTGGATGGATCCCAACTTTAATGTCAGGATAGACCTAGAAGTCTGAGCAGCAGCTGGCTCAGCCTCTCACTGCATCGCTGAGACTCTGAGCCAGTTGCTCCTGCTCCCTCCACAGCCTGGCACTCCAGTGAGCACTGGAGGGGCAGAGCAGAGAGCCCATTGACTAACAGTCACCGGCTCTCTGCTAATGAAGACTGAGAACTGAGTGATCAGCAGTCTTTGATTCCTCGGGGATGCAGCATCCAGCTAGGCGAGTATGATTGTTTGGTATATTGAATTCCCAAACCTCTCTTTTAAGGTGTATTGATTGATTGCACAGTTTGGAATCATTAAGTACTGTTTTACATTAGATCTAAATCAAGTCAATAAAGTCTCAAAAGCTTTAAGGCCTGTGTCGACGTGTTTTGGGATTCTATCAATGGCATCCATTTGGCACTCTTTCGAGATTCTTCAAAATTCAGTTGCATTTGACCTCCAACTGATCTGCATTTGACCTACTTCAAGGGAGTTTTGCATTCCCACAAACTTGCATGGAAATTAAAAACTCCACTAATGTAAGGAAAAGCCTGTTGACACAAGTCCTTAGTTTGTAAATGTGATCCCAAATGTTGCTTTTATTCTGTTTTCATTAAAAGATTACCTGGTGATCCTGCCATGAAGTTCTTTGTTCACGATTTATCTATATAAGGTGACAACTGTTTCCCAACTGAGCTCTTGTGTTGTCACCCTGTCACATGTTCTCCTGGTTGATTCTACAAACGGATAGATCAATCAGTGCAATCACTCTCCCCACCTAAATCCTAAATACTATTATATACCCCTTTGTTGCTTGCTGAACACAAAAACAGTGGATCCCACCTCACAATCTAAATATATTCACAAATTACTAGTGCAGCGCAACTCTCTAAATTAATAATAGTTAGAAAACATAAAAAAAGCATAAAATGTGTATCCACATCCAGCTCACCACTCCACTAGCAAGATAGTGGCTGCGTGGTAACACAGTACCAGCTCCTCCTTCCTAGACACGTTGCGCCCCCTCTCAGGGCTTCCTCACGCCTTTCCATGCCACCACTATCTTGCTAGCGGGGTGGTGAGCTGGATGTGGATACACATTTTATGCTTTTATTGCTTCTTATATCTGTGTTATTTCAGTGGGGGATACAATAAAGTGTTATACAGAGAGCACTATGTTTCGGTCTGTTTCATGAGATCAATTGTGGCCTGATGTCAGAGTGAGTGGAAGGCGAGAGGAGATAAGAAGATATGTCAGTGTGACTGAGGAGTTGAGTACACCCAGATGAGCGCGTATTTTCTTTTCTTGAGGTGAGCAGGTTTTTCATCTGGTTTGGTGGAGGATCACTGAATATTACTAAAGAAGATTTTCATGGAAGTGATATACTTTAGTTTATCATTTGTATATCTAAAACATAGAATATGCAGCGCTAGATGTTATGTGAAACTATGATAAGTTTAGTAATAAATGAGAATAATACAGTCCCAAATGAAGAGTCCTCAAAGACAGAAGTAATATATATCAAAAATGCTCCATGCAGTGATCAAAAAAGTCCACAAGGTGGGCAAACTGGTCAAGTGAAGAAATAACAAATTCCTTGTAGTAACGGTTTTATAATGCGCTTACCAGAACTACATACAAAATGTGCGTTGTATGTATACACTCTGTAAAGGACATCAGGGTCTGGTCACTGGTATGCTGTCATCAAAGCGCCCTAGCAGACTCCCAGAGATGATAACAAGACACGCTCCCGGTCCACCTCAGGACTCACCAATGGGTCACCAATGGGTCCACCGTCGCTCAGACTCCGGATGTCGATCCACCTTAAGGAGGTTCGTGCAATAACAAGCTGGGATTGTGAAAGGAGGCGGTTGAGGAGAGCACTATCTTGCCTCCCTGGCTTGTTATTGCACGAGCCTCCTTAAGGTGGATCGACATCCGAGTCTGAGCGACGGTGGACCCATTGGTGACCCATTGGTGAGTCCTGAGGTGGACCGGGAGCGTGTCTTGTTATCATCTCTGGGAGTCTGCTAGGGCGCTTTGATGACAGCATACCAGTGACCAGACCCTGATGTCCTTTACAGAGTGTATACATACAACGCGCATTTTGTATGTAGTTCTGGTAAGCGCATTATAAAACCATTACTACAAGGAATTTGTTATTTCTTCACTTGACCAGTTTGCCCACCTTGTGGACTTTTTTGATCACTGCATGGAGCATTTTTGATATATATTACTTCTGTCTTTGAGGACTCTTCATTTGGGACTGTATTATTCTCATTTATTACTAAACTTATCATAGTTTCACATAACATCTAGCGCTGCATATTCTATGTTTTAGATCTGTTACTGAGGTGCTGAGGAATACCTTTTATGCTAGCAGCTTGTTAATTTATTATTATCCTTACTTTTTTACTCTATTAATTTAGTTGCGCTCATTCAATTTGTTTTATTTATCATTTGTATATGTTTTTCACAGGAGTATTTATGTTTTCTAACAATTATTAATTTAGAGAGTTGCTCTGCACTAGTAATTTGTGAATACATTGTACAAACGTGTTTCACCATTTTCATTATGAGTAAAATAGTCCAGATGCTATTCAGTCCACACTGGGGTCTCCCAAGTATACTTGGATACAGAGTCACTTGCAAATGTAATACAAAGTATACCCGTTCCCTATTCATAGTGACTACTAAAGTACCAATGTCAATTCAAACAATATCTTACCAAGATGGAAATTACATTTTAGAGGATTGCACTTTGTTTTACATATATTTATTAATATTTAACACATTTAAAAACTATTTCAAAACCAAATAATCCCAATGGACTATATTTCAAAATAATGCTGCCCCTCGGTTGGAGTGAAACTTCTGTTTCTGTGTAACAATTCAGCAATTCAACCATATTTTTGTGCTCAAAAAAGAACAAAATGTTCCAAACTAAATTTACGCTTACAATGTTCACATTCATACTTAAATACAATACATATGCACTATTAGGGCCGGGACAAGGGGTAAGTGGGAGGGGCGGCTGCCCTGGGCACAATGGTTTTCTGTACAGATGGGGGGGGGGGGCTTTTTTCTGTTACAAGGGTGACAGGAGTAATGAGAACAGCAGTGATTTTGACACACAAGTGACTGCTGGGCATAGGATCCCCTAAGCTTGCATATCATGAACAGGAAGGGGGGGTTCACAGTTTGGCATCTTTCCCCTGAGCGCTGATTGACCTTCTCCCAGCACTGGAGTTGGAGTTGTGGGAAGGCCCAGTAGACAACATGGAAGAATGGCATACAGAAACCAAGTAAAGTGGCACAATAATTAGATAAAGGTACAAAAACCACATGGAGAACAACGGCAAGGTACTGGACTTAACAGTTCCAAACATTATGGTATCAGTGTTTTAGGAACACAGTCAACACAGGATCAGAAGCTCTCAACAATGTTAGCGCACATTGGAGTAGTCAGATTGTCACTTTGATATGGCTTACGTTAATGGAGCAACATCTGAGCTGAGGGGTGGCTATTATATAGCAGTGTAACGCACTTGGAGGAGCTACTTGCAGAACTTTATCACAGCACTAGAGTCCAAGACACAGTGAAGCCAGGAGTGGTGCCCCTAGTCTGTCCCTCCCTGTCAGGAAACTCTCCCTAAGCTAACTAAGCTGTCCCTATCCAGGAGGAATCCTGTCCCCACTCTACCCACTTCATAACTGTGTGCCAACTGCAGCAGGGCTCTGCTATTTATTAGTTTTGCCCCCACTAAAGATGGATGGGCATTCAGTGTTGCAGCGTCCAATCAGACTATTGTTCCTCTGATGACCCCAACAAAAGCTGCAGAGGAACAATGTTCCTCTTATCCTCCATTCCCTGTGTAAATCGGTCAGCAACACAGCACCACTTACAGAGGGCAGGGAAAATTGCACCTGCCTAAATACAGAAGGTTTGAAAACTGGGCTATTGACAGAATGTTCCCTAACAAACGATGGGGTGGTGAGGATAAATTAATTTTACAAAAGGAAATTTGGTGTATATGGAATTCAAAAGCATTTAAAGCGGTAGTAAAGCTAAAAAAAAATTCCCAACCCCCCCAGGTTTACGTCATAATGTGCTACTGTGCACTGCATACTAGCACAGTATGTCAGACTTACCTTTAGAATGGATCCCTCCAGAGGTGCCCTGTCACCACTGACAGGGATTCCATCATTACCCAGTTTTCTTCCAGGTTTGCACTAGCGGTAGGGACAGGTTCTAGAGGAGTAGGGATACCTCAGGGCCTACGCCTACATTTTGGCAAGCTCTATTTTGGTTTGGACTAGCCAGGCCATGTTCCACCCCCCTTGGCAAGTGTTGTCTTCAATTTTAACTATTAACACCTACCATGAACACAACCCCTATACTCCAGCTGCTGTATTTCACACAACCATGTGCTTCAATAATATTCCCTACAATATACAGTGTTCCTATAGTTAATACAAAAAACTTTTTATCTTATGCCTCTGTGAAAACACAATAACTATAAAATGTTCTATAGTCCATAAGATGCAATGTACAGTGCTTCTTCAACAAATGTGCAGTTTATTATTTGTTTTCTTCCATATGTGCTTTACGCAAAGAATTCGGTGTAAACTTCAATCTCATTGTTTCAATATTGCCTTCAGTGTTATCCACTCCACTGTTGTGCACCACCACCATTCCGGAAAAATCACCAGACAG